CTTTTTTTTTTTTTTTTTTTCTTCTTCTTTACCCAAGTAGTTCAAAGAACAACACAACAGAAAAGAGAAACGAAAAAGTAACAGGAACATGACCCTTAAACACACCTTGTATAAAAATAGCTCCTGGCCACATCTGCTAACAGCGGTGGTTCCACCGTCCAGTGGGCAGGTCGGGGTGGCTGCGTCCCATGACGCAGGAGCCTGGGCACCTCCACCGAAGACACACACCGCTGTTCTACACACAGTACACTCTGGGGCCCAGACCCACACCAGGCCCTGCATCTGCAGGACAGAAAGCAGGGACAGGTGATGTCCCCAGCCCCGGAAGGGCCATGGAGAGCCCGGTGGAGGGTGGATACAGGTGGGAGGGTCCACACGGGTGGACAGGTGGCAGGAGATGGAGCACAGGCAGCAGGCCTGGGAGGTGGCTAGTTTGGGATGATTTATACTTTGAGGAACAAGCTTCCTCTCATTTTTGGCTTCTTTCACATTTTCTCTCTGACCGATTCCATCTTTATTTCTGGCCCCCTTGTCACTCTTCCTCCTCTGGAAGGCTGCGGGCAGTGGCAGAAGAGAAGAGGGCCAGGAAGAAGGTCCAGTGACAGCATGGCCAGAGCTTCGGGCCTTGAGGTAGACGGTTTCTTTCACACCTGGAGACGGGATGCACTTTTTTTTCTTTTTCTTTTTTTTTAAAACTCTGGACAACAATGGGGACGGGAGGGAAGCCCACAGAGGGGCTTGAGGTAGGCGTGCATTTGGCTCTGAGGGGCAGGGCCCAGGGTGCCGTCCCCTCCCCGAGGACATTCATGCCGGCTGAGGTAGGTGCTGAGCGCTAACACAGCAAAATCCATCCTGAGAAAACGAGGTCGGGCAGGGGACTGTGTCGGGCCCGGCCCAGCAGGGGCAATTTTTGGAGTCTAATTCACCTTCCTCTCTCTTCTTTCGCTTTCAGTTTTGATTTTTAAAGGAAAACATTAGTCCAGTTCCAAGTTGCATGGGTACCAGGCAGCAGCAAGGGGACATCAGCCCGGGGATGGGGGCTCCTGCAGGGATCCCTTCATCTCCCAGAGGGGCCCCGTCCTTCAGTCAGGACCGAAATGCAGGGCCATCCCCGGGACCGTCCAGCTCCCACGTGGAAGGAGAAATCTTGCCTTTGACCTGAGAATGCGGGGCTCCCCGCCTCCAGAGCCAGCCGGACACCGGCTATCGTCCCTCGAGAGCTGGCTGGGCAGCCTATCCTTCACTAAGGAGGCCGTGGCCTGTATCCTGGGGTGGCAGGGCAGCTCCAGGGTCTGTACAGGGGACCGTTATGGTCTCTGGCGTCCTCCCCTCCAGAAGGCTGAACCCCTGAAGTGGCAGCATGGACAGCTGGGTCTCCTCACACACGGCAGGGCCTGCGAGGTCCTGCGGGGACAGGGCCAATCATACAGGTGTCACACGGGAAGGGCTGGATCCCACCTGGGGCTCAGGGTCTCAAGGCCTTGCTGCCTGCCTTGGGTTTTGTGACCAGAGCAGATCTGGAGTCTGGATAAGGCCGGTGACTGAGGCCTGTGGCCAAATGAAGTAGGGGCAGGAAGGGGACGTGGTTAGAGGGGACGTGGCTGGAGGCCTGGGCACTCACGGTAGGCCTGGGGCTCGGCTGCCCCACTGCCCCTGCCGGGGGACACAGCTGCTCCAGTTCCTTGGCATCCATGCGCTTCTCTCGGTGCCCCCCCTGGGCCATGCCATTCGGGGCCAGGACACCAGTGTCCCTCTGGCCCCGGGGACCCTGGGGAGGTGATAGCTGATTTTCCACATCCTTACACAGGAGGACCCTATGGGTGAGCAAGAGTCAGGGGAAAGGGCAGAGGACAGGGCCAGCCCCAGGCCCCTCTCCGAGGCCATCTCCGCTGCAGGCAGGCCCCTCCCCAGCCCAACCCACCTGCCCCTCTGTCCAAACAGGAGGAAGAGGACACAGAAGATGATGCAGGTGACCCCGATGTGGATGCCAATGACGATGCCTGTGGTGGATGTCTGGTTGGCCGCTTCCTCTTTCCGGCAGTCACAGGGCGGGCTCAGGGCTGGGGGGAGGGGCAGGTTGGGCTCGCAGCACCCCAGTCATCCAGGCTCTGAGGGCCCCTTCCTCTGCTCCAGCCTGTGGCTTTGCCAGTGTGGCCCCAGCCCAACCTTTTCATTTCTTTTTACCAATTATGGAGCACTGACTGTGCCCAGTACTGGCTGTAGCACTTTTTCCATCAGCCTCAAACTTGCAATCCTCCTGCTTCAGCCTCCCAAGGGCTGGGCTTAGGGGACAGCACCTTACCCGGACTACTCATCCTTGCCCTATCTTTGTAAAGTCAATATTATTATCTCTACAGAGAGCACTGCTGTTCAGACAGGAGGAGCTTGACCAAGGGAACACAGTGAGAGTGCTGCCCACCAAGCTTCTGGCGCCCCCCACCCACCTGCTGGGCTCACCCCCCTCAGCCCGTCCTTCCTGGGTCCCAGCCTCAGCCCCACACCCTCACCTGTCCTGTCTGAGGCTCCCCGCAAGGACACGAAGCGGACCGTGGCGTTGCCATCCCCGTGCTGGTTGTAAGCCAGCAGCTTCACCTCGTACGCGGCCCTGGGGTCTGGGGAAGCAGCGCTGCTGAGTGGCCTGCACCCTCATCCGCCAGGAGCTCGCGCACCCCACCTCGGCCCCAGAGCCCCCCTCACCGAGCTGGCTGAGGTTGTAGGAAGAGGTGGTTCCAGGCAGCAGGATGGGGCCAGCGAAGGAGGCCTTGCCCACCTGGCGGTAGAACAGCTTGAAGCCGCCCTCATGCAGGGCCAGCCGGGGCCAGGGCTCCCACAGCAGCTGCAGGGAGGAGCCGCCCAGGACCCGCACAGAGAGCAGGGGTGGAACGGGAGCTTGGGGCAGGGAAAGAGGCCACGGCGTGAGCGCACAGTTGAAGTTCTGCCTTTCCACCTCCTACCTGGACCCCCAGGAGCCTGACAGTTCTCTGACCTCCGACCCTGGGTGTGCATTAGAAAAGGGGACCCTTTCTAGCACGTAGACCCAGACGCTATTCAGCTTCAGGGCCAGCCCCTTGTGCAGTGCACAACCTAAACACTTGTAACTGGTGGTCCCACTCAGATATCTCGGTCTTACCTTCACCCAGAGTGCTGGCCAGAGTGGGGATGGAGGCTGAGCTGGCCCCCCTTGGTGTGTAGGCCTTGATATAGAAGCTGTAGGCCGTGGAGGGCTCAAGGTCGCTGACCAGGTGCTGAAAGGTGCTCTTGCTGACTGCTTCCTGATACTCCAGCTCTGGAGGATCTGGCCAAGCAAAGGGCGGGGCAGGGGAGTGTAAGGGACATGAGGGTGTCTTGCCAGCACTGGTGACATGAGGGCAGCCCGGGTGCAGGTGAAGAAGGGGCAGGGATCGCTGACCCACCGGCAGCCTTTCTGATGTGCAGGACGTAGCCTATGATCTCCTTGGTGTTGACCAAAGGCTCGCTCCAGGACACACGGACCTCGGTGGATGACACAGAGGTGGCCTGGACGTTGCGGGGGGGCCCAGGGAGCCCCTCGGCCCACAGCACAGTCAGCCTGGCGCTGGCCTGGGACGAGCCCGCGCTGTTCTCGGCCACACACTGGTAGATGGCCTCATCCTCGGGGCCGATTCCCGAAATGGTCAGTGTGCTGCAGGGAACAGGGAGAGCTCAGGTCCCCACACTCCCCGAGTGT